TGTTGTTGTTGTTGTTGTTGTTGTTGTTGTTTGTTGTTGTTGTTGTTGTTGCTGTTGTTGTTGTTGTTGTTGATGATGTTGATGTTGATGTTGATGTTGATGTTGATGTTGATGTTGATGTTGATGTTGATATTGATGTTAAGGTTGTTGTTGCTTGTGTTGGTGGAGGTGGTGGTGGCGGTTGTGGTGCTGCTGCTGCTGATGTTGTTGCTGTTGCTACGGTTACTGAACTACTAGATGGAACCATGGTGGTAGAAGGTAGCAGTAGTAGTAGTAGTAGTAGTAGTAGTAGTAGTAGTAGTAGTATCATACTGCCGGCAAATCACACTGCTGGGCGTACGATGTTCTACCGACCCGAGTCAGACCGTGCATGCTGCAGCTGATAGAGATCAGCTGCGAGTGGCTGGAAAATAAAAACTGGTATTAGGTAATAAAGAACAACCTAAATCCCTGCGCTCTGGGAAGACTTATTTGGCAGCGGCCAAGCACGGGGTTTGGTTTGTTGAAAGCTGCCGGAAGTTAACAGGTCAAGGTGAAATTACACGTAAGGAACCAAGCCCCGCGCTGGAACGTGAGCTGCACACCCAAAGCCAGGCTGCTGCGACTATTCCCGAAAAACAAAGTGTACGGCTGTCTGGCTTCTCCCTGAAGAGCTTCTGCACCTTGTCTGTTGGACGCGATCCTCAGCACGCCAGCCGGTGGGTTGGTAAGGGGTTTGGAGTTTGCAGCAATTCAAGCCAGGGTCACGGCGAGCGCGGACGGAACATAAAGTCGGGGACTGGGGCCCCAAACCCTAAACACACTGTTGCCTTTTTGGAAGTTCCCTTTCAGGCCTTTCAGGGTATCATAAGGGTTTAGGGATAAGGGTGTAAAGGACCCCAAATAGTCGATACCTTGACCCGTTGGGGCGATACAGGGGCCTGCATACGAGAAAAAAGGGGCCTCGTAGCATATTGTTCTCCAAATCCTGTTCCAAGTACTAAGGCATCGTACTAAGCCCCAAACGATTGAACCTTGCGCAAACAAGCCCTAAACCCCACACCCCTAAACCCCTGAACCCTCAACCCCTAAACCTTAAACTGACACCTGAACTCTAAATCTTTGGATCTGGCCCCAAACATTGACCCTGAACTGAACCCTATAAACTCTTGGGTTTATGGTTTATAAACCCTAAACCCTAAACCCTAAACCCCTAAACCCTAAACCCTAAACCCTAAACCCGGAACTAGACTCTAAACCATGAGCCTTATATAACCGGTCCTTATGCAAAGCCAGAGCTGAGAGTCGACCGTAAACCGTCCAACCTAAAGCACAAATCCTAAACCCTGAACTAAACGGTTTAGGGTTTAGGGTTTAAGGTTTAGGGTTTAGGGTTTAGGGTTTAAACCCTCAACCCATGAACCTTGTACACATCCGAAGACACTAAGCTGTAAACTGCAAACCCGAAGACTAAACTAAGCCGCAGGTGCCTGAGCGTTGTCCGAACCGTAACCAGAAACTGAACCCTAAATCCTCGAACCAGAACTCTAAGCCCTTGAACCTTCTACAAAATCCGAACCCTGAACTAAACCCTAAACCCTAAACCTTATGCCAAAGTAACCCTTTAAGCCGTTAGCAACAGCCAGCTCCCACCTTGTCCTTCTCACAAAGTAATTGCACCGAGCCTCTGATCAGGTTTTCGACTTCAAGGTTTTAGGATGTTTTGGGTTTAGGGTTTAGGCTTTAGGGTTTAGGGTTTAGGGAATCTGGGAGTTACATCCCTAAACCCTATATAAATCTTTCGGGTCCAAGGACATTGGGATTTACGGTGTTAGGGTTGCGGGACCGTTGGGATGTGCAGCTTTGGGCGCGGCGTTTGGGTTTAGGGAACCCTGGGCCTTGCGGCTTTAGGGTTTAGGGAATTTTGGGGGGGTTTAGGGTTTAGGGAATTTGGGCGGGGGGCGGGGGGGAAATTTGGGGCTGTGCGGGATTCGGGATTTTCTGGGGTTCAGGGCTTTGGGATTTGGAGTTCCGGAGGATTCATGGTTTCGAGGCAGGTTAGGGTGTAGCCCTTATAGAGTTTAAGGATTCGAGGCAAGAGGATAACGTCGACCCGACTCAATAGTAAGACTTCTTGGGGTTCTCTTTATGCTTCAAGCTCAATGGGGCATTTGAGTAATCAGGGTTATATAGGGCTGTGGGCTACCATGAAAGAGCACAAGAAATCTAGTGAGTAGGGTATCAGGATCTCAGGTCAGTTGATGCTGGGTCGGCTTCGAAAATACAACGCAACAAATTCAGCAGTTTAGGCCTTTTGGGACGTTTCGGGGTTTGGCGTCTTCCTGCCTTTCTCCATGCCTCTTTTTTTATCAGATGTATGTATGTGCGTGTCTGTGTATGTATGTATGTATGTATGTATATATATATATATATGTATGTGTATATATACACATGCATACACATATATGTATACATATATGTGTGTATATATATATATATGTATAAATATATTATACATGTGTAAGTAATTGTGTAAGTACATGCATGCATGCATACACACATACATCCATACATACATACATACATACATACATACATACATACATACATACATGCATACGTCCACACACGTGGCCTTACGTATTTTTGTTACGAAAATTATATCAGATCCCATGATGTTATGTTCGTGTCTTCCTGGCCGTTTCTGCCTGATGCCGCTCTTCCGGACCAGATCATTAGCTTTGGTGCTCTAATTCTGTCGGCAAGTGGCTGTAAACCCCTAAACCCCTAGTGACAGCTTGAAGCCCTTTAGGATCATCTGCCTCCTTCTGGCCCTGGCCACCTCTAGCACCCTCTAAACCCTAAGCCCCTACATAGACCTAAACCCCTAAAGTCCCAAACCCCCAACCCCCAAAAGCACCTACACACCCTAAACCCCGCATCAACACTAAACCCGAAAACGTTTTAGGGTTTAGGGTCTAGGGTTGAGGAAAGCCCTAAACCCTCAACCCAGACACACCCCAGACCTGACCCAAACCCTGAACCGTACACAGTTGAAGGAGAAACGACGCTGGAGTTGGAAGCCGAAAACTCCTCCAGGGCCGCCGATGTAAAGAAGGGCGGACGGGTGGTGGCAATGGGTTTAGGGTTCGTATGATATCAAACAGTATATAGTATAATAGTATAGTAGTATAATAGTATAATCGTGTAATAATATAATA